GTGTTCAACTTTTGTCACAGTAAACAAAAAGCAGTCTCACTTAATAATATTCACATAAATCCAGCTGGCTCATCAATCAGTGGCATTTCTAAGGTGCCTGTTACTTTGGTTTGAAGGTGTCATACCAGTAAAAAGACTTGGAGTGTTGATATGCCTGCATGACTGATTTCTGTTCCTGTGAATTTCCAGAGAATACAAGGGATACATGTATTTGATTCACAGATCACATATTCAGTTATTGCATATTTATTTAGCACAATTACATTACCTTACTTGGTATTTTTATTTGATGATATAACTCAGCATCTAAACACCCCACGCAAAGCAAAGCAAAGCAAACCAAGAACTTGGGGTTGTTTACGTCTCCAGACAGTCAGCTGAGGATTCCCTCAACACAAGAGAATCTTTGAAGAGTTGATTAAGCTTCCCAAACTAGGGGGCTGGACTCAATGATCTTCTGAGGTGCCTTCCAGCCCTAATGTCTATGAAATCTATGAAACTAGACTTTGGTGGTTAACCATATACTCTAGTCAGTGGAGTTTAGGCCCTTTCTGCACTTTGCATTTATGCAAAGTGACATGAGTACCTAAACAAGGCATCATAAAATGGAAAATTATCTTAGTGGATAGTGGGTGGCCAGAAAGTCAATCCAAGAACTGGGTCTGGGAACAGACTAAGTCAGGAAGCTGGAGGATCAGACAGGGTATGGAGTCAAAGGGCAGCCCAGGGCAAGAAGCCAGGAGATCAAACAGGGTGTAGGGTCTAGGGACATGCCAAGTCAGGAGGCCAAAGGATTAGATAGAGAGCAGAGTAAGAGGGAAAGCCAATTTGAGAAGCCAGGAGATCAAGCAGAACTGAGGCAGAGGCACAGGCTGGAGGAAACAGCAAGACATTCTGGGCTCCAGTTGAGCAGAGCACAGGACATTTCCTGTTCCTGTGCAGGGGTTTATACAGAGGGAAGTGTAGGGTTGATTGACCCCAACTGTCCATTCCCACAGCAGGGAATGAGGAGATGTGTAGGCCCTGATAGAGGCTTCCAGACAGCTTTGCCCAGTCTGAATGATCAGCCAAGGGGTAGTGGGCCAGGACCAGTGGTCTTGCCAGGCAAACAGTGACCCCAGATTCAAGGGAATGGCCTAACAAAATGAGCCATAAAATGTTCCACAAATAACGTAGAACCTTTTTATAGCTGGTTTATAGGGCACCTTAGACTGAACATGTGTCATGACCACACATTGGGGCTCTCCAAATCAACGCCTGACAATCAGCTGATAGTTGGAATTAGCTCAGGACAACCCCAGTCTCTAGTCAGTCTGCTGACAATATTGTTGGCACTGGCCTGGGCTGGCCTGGTCTTCAACAAGCTTGGGGCTGCCCCAGTGTTTGTGACAGCAGTTAGCTGATTTTTTGGGACCAGCCCCCAGGCCAGTCCTGATTCTTCAACGATACTTGGGACTGCCCTAGTTTGTAGGAATGAAGGACCAGAGCCTGTGGGAAGGGGTAGCCCCCTGGGGTCTTTAAAACATGAACCTGACTGTTTTAGTGGGGCTGCCAGAGCAGGGTTTAATGTCTCCCTCTGGCTTTACCTGCTGCGAGCCTATGAACCCCAGCTCTCAGTAGCCCCACCGGAGTTGCTGTGACAAGCACAAAATCTATTGAGCACCAAGGTACACCAACTGTTGTGTTGAGAACAAAACAACTTAAATGAGAGCTTTGTATCAGATCCTAATTGCAGACATGACAACAAAAGGAGGAACAAATTACTAGGCAGGGACAAACAATGATGCATGGGGGTATATCAATAAGATTATATGGTAACTCAAAATAGGCTAATGGACAGCATAGTGAATTTCATTTTATTTTGTTTAATAAGTAAAATGAATGCCTTTTTTGTAGAAGTAGGTTTTCAGTAAGAACTTGTTTGAAGGGAAAGTAGCAGTATGGTGTATTAACTCCCAGTGGCTCTCTATGATTAGAGGCAATGTGAAAGCAGACTCCTTGGGTGAAGCTTAAAGACATGAACAACATAGAGTTTGGTGGTGAAGGGAAAGTGTTCACTATTTTTCTTTATCTACCAAATCACCTATCCAATGACACCTATCAAAATTTCAGAGCTTAATGAAAGTAGTGGCTCTAAAAGAAGCAAGTAGAATTATATAGAATGATTACATAGAATTAAACTGGATTACAAGGGCAGTTAAAAGACACTCTGATACATTTTTGGTTTTCCCTGCATGTTTATACTAGTGAATAATACTCAGTATAAATGAATAAATAGAAAAGTACTCTCTCACTTGAGCATGTAAGTAGATTCTGAAACACTTCTTTGATGTGAGGAATCTTCTATATTGCTAATATTCCTCAAGGTAAGCAGAAAAGGGCAAGATGGGTAATGTCCAAGATGGGTCCTTTGAGCCCTTTCTCTGGAATAATTTTAGAGGGAGTGCCCCCTTTTGATGTTAATTGGCATTCTTCTTTTTATAGAAGAGAAAGTTCTAATTGTAAGTGCAGCTGAAGGATTCCTGCTCCCTCTGAAATGAATAAGAGTACTGCATTGGCTGTGCTAAGTATATGAGCTTTCTAGTAGTCTTTCAGAATAATCCACATAAAAAAAAATCCAAACCACACAAGCAAATTGTTCTCTAATATGCACACATGAAGTGTTTGTTGAATTATCTGAATTTAAGATTCAAATAATGAGAAAACAACAACAGCAAAACACACCAGATACTGAATTTATATGTACCTTTCTAGAGTCTGACTTATTTCATATCTAGATCTTTGCCTTGTATAGAAATTGTAGATCAGTGTAGGATTTTTTACTGACATTTATGTCCTAATCATGCTCTATTTTGTTCTATATTTTACATTTTTTTTTTGTTTATAACAGTCAACTCAGTCATACATAATTGCTTTGGACAAGTACAGAAAATGGAAGATTTACTAAAGATGAATTTAAAATCTTGGTTTACAAGCAGAAGAAATGTAACAGTATCTACCTACCCCCTAGTGGGCTGTAGGAGTTGTTATCTCAATTCCTATCAAAAGAATATCAGGATGAGATTATTTTGGATACTGGCTTAGCTCAAAGGCAAGAGAATTTCTACACATCAGATGTTTCATGGCTGTATGCATGCACACTTACTATGAGAAATATTAAAGTGAATCCATTATGTGGGGACTTTCAAAAAGTTATAAACCCTCTAATGTTCACATCAAATTACAATTTTCATACTATGGAGATTATATATATAAATAAATATTGATTATTTTTTACCCTTCCGATATGTTAAAACAGAAACCCAAAACTACATTACTTGAAAATGAATGTGTGTACAGGTCTCACTGTAACATGAAGATAAATCTTAGTTTCAGTCATCCTTTTTTCCCCCCTTGATTCAGAGTTTAAATTCTTTTGATCCATTTTCAAATTTGTAGAGGGGATAAAGGTCTGGAAGCTGTGGACTAAGATAAATAGGCCAGTCTAATACAGTTAATAAATGGTGATGCAATTCAGACAAAAATACAGATGAGAGGAATAATGAATTCCCTCTTGGAATTCACGAAGATCTCAGCTGTAATTCACCATAAGCACCTATACAGAGAAAAAGGTGCTTAAGGCCATGTGTAGATGAAATGAGCGGCATGTGTGCAAGACGTTTTAAAGGTTAAATGATTTTGCACCACTTTAATGGTGTTGGTGTTTGCACGTGGCGGCGGTGTATTGTGCAGTAATTCCAGCTGCTGTAGCAAATTCAGTCGCATAATGTGACTTGGGATGTGACTTAATGTGACTTAAATGACTTGGAGTTTTAGTTTGCTGCCCTACAGATATGGAGTGAACACCAGGCTTTGTGCAGTACAGGGGCTCTGCAGGCAGCCCTGCAGGCAGCCTGGCAGCAGCCAGGTTAGGCAGGCTTCACCCAAGAAAAAAAACCCAAAAACCGTTAACCTGGAAAAAAAAAAGCACCAGCCCCACCTCACAGCCCAGGGACTGCTCCGCCTGCCGGCAGCTCACCCTCCCTTCCCTGCTGCCAGAGAGGCAGATAAGTTTGGGTGTCTACATGACACAGGGGTTCAAAGGGACCTAAATTGGAGTGATGTTTTTGAAAACCCACCAATTCAGTTTAGGGCCCCTGTTTCATCTACACACACCCTAAAACTCCATCTCATGTTTGGAAGTGAATAGACCCTTTGGAGACAGCAGGAAGGGGTTAAGGTCCCCAGTCCTAGCTTATGCCAGAATCAGGTGACCACACTGTTTTGTGACAGAAACCTAGATATGGTACTTTCTTTAAGAGAGGCTGCCTCTTTTGTAGCTGGTGAAAGACCTAGTATAGATGTCTCCAAAGCAGACTTAAAAATTCTTGAGGAAGAGTAGTACTCTAAGAGCAGTAGGCTATGTAGAGAGAATTGTGGCAGAACTAGCTCAGTAGGTCAGAAAAAGGCAATGTTGGAACGAGCTGATGGTAGTACCAAACATTGTGTTGGGCCAGGGAACCAAGAAGTGATTAGAATGAAAGAGTCTGAAAACTTGGCAAAAAAGTCAAGTAGGTAGTAGCCCTGGATTGACAAAGGAGAATCCCTTGAGATAATATATCAGCAGGAGCATCCCCTAGCACTGTGCCAGCTGACATGGCTTGTTTTTCCTGTTGGAGAACAGGAGTAGCAAGCACTGAATTGTGATTGTGTCATAATATGGTTCTTAATTTCATCTAAGAGTATATGTAAACTAGTTGCCTTGCTAGGAGTTTACAGTAACTTCATTATCTAGGTCTAAACATTTTGAACCATGAAATGAAGAGTTTGTTTTTAGCTACACAGTTTCCTACTTCCAAACTCACTGAATCATTATATGCCATTGATTTTTGGTCACACTGAATATAGTTCATGTCATTGTGTGAATTTTATCCCTACACAACAGTTTCCTAGATTATTTTTTCTTCCTATTGACAGTATGTTTTATAGTGACATTTTATTTCTATATTCCCTGTTTGCAGGCTTTGATCTAGTGAAGTGTGAGGATCCTGGGATACCAAATTATGGCTACAAGATCCGTGATGAGGGACATTTTACCGACACTGTAATTTTATACAGTTGCAATCCTGGATATACAATGCACGGTAGCAATATTATGACTTGCCTAAGTGGAGATCGAAGAGTGTGGGACAAACCTTTGCCTACTTGTATAGGTAATTTTGACTATATGATTTTAATGCATCAGGGTTGTGGCTGCAACAGCTGGAGTATGGGAACATAGGATAGCACCAGCAGGAAAGCATTTACCATGTGTTGTTTTAAGCATGCAAGAGAAAATTCATACTTTAATACCTACTTTCTCTTCTATCCCCAATACCTCTAGATCAGGGGTCAGTAACCTACAGCCCACAAGTTACATCTGGCTTTAAAGGCTATATGCAGATATTTGAGGAAGTTAGGGGGAGATTAGATTGCATTAAAAATGGTCACCGGATTTAATTTAGTTTGCCCAAGTATGGACCTTACACTTTTTAGGTGGATCTACATGCAAACTGTACAGAAGTTCAGGTTAGTTAGAGTAGTCTAAAAATGGCCAACCCAGTCTAAGTGTACCTCCAAGGTAGTCTAATTTAGCTTGGGTCCTGTGACACTAATCTAACTGAACTTCTGTACAGTTCCCAGTGTAGCTGCAGGGCTGGGGAAGCCCAGCTGCTGGCCTCAGCCCCAGGACTGCAAGTTTCCTTCCCTCTCCCTGGCACCAGCTATTTTTAACCTATCCCCCAACCCGCAGATGGACAACCCTCTCCACAACTGACCAGATATTCCCCCCCTCCCCACTCCACCAAATCCCTCCATCCCACAAGCTGCTGCTCCTGATTCCAGTTTTATCAGTGTTTGCCAATACCAGGAGCCAAGGAAGAAGGTGGGGTAGGGAAAGGGGCAGGAGAAATGGGAGACTAGGTTTCCTGGATGGATTGCTTGTCTCGGGGCACAGGGGTCAGGAGATAAAAATAGCCCCTTGTTCCAGGGGGTGGGGAGGAGAGTGCCCACCGACTCCTGACCCAGCTAAACCTTCCCAAATCCCAGAAACCCCCTGTGAATCCCACCTTACCCCCAGTACCACCTGTGTGCCCCATCTGCCCCCCATCCCCTGAAGAGCCTGCTTGCCCCCCCAACCCCTCCATTCTCTCTGCTAGCCCTCCAGTTTGATTTATCTTATACTGGGGGGCTATTTTTCACATGATCTAACTCCCCCAAACTCCCTGAATGTCTGCACATAGGCAAAGAGGTCAGATCCAGCCCACAAAAGGCTGATCTGTTCTTTATGTTATTAAATGGTTATTCTGCATTGGTCCCTGCCATCCCAGCCATCAGATCCCCTTCTACTAACAGACAGACAATGGTTTGTCCTTTTACTATTGGTCAGCTCCTCTAGTGATTTGTGTGGAGGCCTTCTCTCTCTAACTCCCCTAATTTAGCCCAGGCTGAATTAGCCAATCCAAATTGTTGCTTTCCACACTTTTCAGTGGCACATTTTTTCAGGGGAAACTACATTGTGGAGTGGAAACAGTCCTCCGCTCAGAGCAGGGACACAACACTCGACTTGACAGCTGCCAGCGGTAAGCACTGGCCTGCTGTTAGGAAAGGTTGCCAACCCCTGCTTTAGATTATACAATCCTACCATCTCTGGACATCGTCAATGTAAACTTTTTTAGTGAAAAATCCACAATGTTCACTAAATATTAATATATTTATCTGTTTTCTTGCTTTTTACTGTTCTGTACTGGTTTCTGCACAAAGATTTGTAGCTGTAGGGTGAAAGGAAAGGAAGTGGAGAGGGATAGATGGTTTTTGCTTTGCTCCAAAATCAAGTTATGAATTTGAGACACAGGGGGATATACTAAGCTATTGAGTCCAGTCCCCTGCTCTCACAGGCAAATACATCCTATAATCCCTTTCATAAACTTAACAAGCTCCATCTTAAAACTAGTTAGGGTTTTGTCCCCGCTGCTCTTTTTAGAAAGCTGGTACAGAATCTCATATCCCTAATGATTTGAAACTTTCTCCTAATTCCTAGCCTAATTTATTCATGAGTAGTTTATATCCATTCATTCTTGCATTTATCTTAATTAACTCTTCGCCCTCTCTGGTGATGTGTTTATAGACAGCAATCATATTCCTTTTCACTCTTTGTTTTGCTAAGCTAAACAAGACAAGCTTTTTGAGGCTTTCCTTGTGGTAAGCTTTTCATTCTCTTGATAATCCTATGAGCCCTTTCTGCATTTGTTCTATCTTTACACATGACCAACATTGCACCCAGTATTCCAAATTAGGTTTCACCAGAGCCTTGTATTAAGTAATTAATGCTTCTCTGTGCTAGAAATGCCTTGCCTGATGCATTGTAGCATTGCATTTGTCTTTTTCAGGGCTGTAGCCCTTTGGTGGCTCACAGTCATTATGTAATCAAGTCATATTTTCTCCTCTTTAGTATTCCCAGTCACTGAACCCACACCTTGTAGCAGTTTTATTAATTCTGAAATTAAGACTTTGAAATTACAAAATTATTACATTTCACCACATTTCAGTCATACCTCAAGGTTATGCAGTTAGGACCTACATCTTACATTTTCTTTACTAATTCTCACCTTCTCCATGTTATCATACATCATTATATCATTTCTTTACTAAAATCCAGATAGATTAAGTGTTCTGTATCTCCCTTGTTTAGAGCATCAGTTATTTTATCAACAAAGTTATTATCTTATTTTGTTATGTATATCCTTCATAAGTTTTGGTTCATTTTATCCTCTATTCCATTTGCTATTTCCACTAGTTCAACTGTCCTTCCACTTTCTCCTTATGGTCACATAGTTTGATGCATCATCTGTGTGTCTGCCTTTCAGCTGTATTGTTTTATGGCTATCTACAAATCTTAAATTGAATATGCAACCCTCTTTCTTCACCACATCTTCAAATCCCCATCTGAATTCCATTAATGTTCATCCACTAGGCTGTCTCTTTAGTCCTCCTCCTTTCTTATGCACGCTTAGTATTTAAGCAGTTAAATTTCCTTAATAACTAACTTCTGTCATGCCTTCTTAGAGACAATATGCATCCTTCAGTTTGCATCCAGTCACCTTCATTGTGCCATATCTTCCTCAGATTATGTCAAATGCTGCCTCAATAGTCATCATTGTCTTCTTTTGTATCCCAGCTTTAATAATTAATGGGCAAAAACTGTCCAAACTCCATTTTAAAAATTCCCCCCTGCTTGCTGCTTTCTGTTTATGGGTGAGGAACTTGCAGGCAGCATAGGAACTACATAAGAACACCATATTGGAGGTACAAAACAAATGGAAAGCATACCAAAAGAAAGCCAGCATGGTTTAATGGCAGAGTTGCGGACGGAATAAAAAGGTGGAGGAAAGGTTTCTTTCAAATTATTTAGAACGAAATTATAAACAAAATAGAAATTATCATCATGCCCCTTTCTAAATCTATGGTGTACCCACACCTTGAACACAGTCCAGTCCTGATCCCTAAATATCAAAAAGAATATAAAAGGTACATAGAAGGACAACAAAGTGATGTGGAGAGGCTTCCATTTAAGGAGAAACTAAAGAGGCTAGGTTATTAGAAAAGAGACACTTGGGGGACATGGTAAGAGTTTACAAAATACTAAATGGTGAAAAGAAACAAATAGGTATTTATTATGTACTTTCTCTCACAATACAAGAACTGGGGGTCATAAAATGAAACTAGTAGGTAGTAAGTTTAAAACTAATAAAAAGAAGTTCTTTTTTTCACATAGCATGTAGTTAAAATGTAGAACTCATTGCCACCAAACATCCGGGGAGCTGAAATTTTAGCCGGATTCAAAATGGCATTGGACAAATTCCTGGAAGAAAGGGACATAGGGACATCAGTAGCTCTTGAGCATGGGAGTTAAGGATACAGTCTCTGAATTAGAGCTTTCTAGGCCTTAAATCACGGGGAGGCAACAGCAGCTCCAGTGCCACTGCAACCATAGTGCCGCACCCAGCCAGCATTTAAACTTTTATTTTACTTGTTAAGGGTGGACAATTAACTGTCTACTGGCTGTGATCAAAGGTGGGAATCATTCTCACCCAGTCACAATGCTTAGCCCCAAGCAGAGCCTGCAAATTGCAAATAAGCCAAATAATAGATAAACTATTTCTTCACCATGAAGGAATCTCACATATATTTCTATGTTGCCCTGTATTCCCTAGCTTGCTCTGGTTTCATGTATAAATCCTTTGCCAGAACTGAAATTTCTCAACAAAAATATCCACTTGGCAACTTTTTCTGACTCTTTGCTGGAGGAGAGTGGCTAAATGAGCTGGGCAGTAGTGCAGGAAAGAGGGTGCATTGTGTTCTGGTTCCTGCTTCTGCCCCAACTTCCTGCCCCTACCCCAACTTCACCATTTTTCTGCATTTTGAATTGCATTTTTGTTCATTGGGTATCATGCATAGACAGCAATGGGATGGTTTCTACTTCATGGGGATGGGGGTCAGAACTCAGGATCCCTTCCCTAGCTGGACACTTTTCAACTCACTAAACCACTTTTCTTCTCCCCCTGGCTCCTTGCCCCATATCTTTCCATTTCGTATTGCCCAACACACCAGCTTCAAGAGGAAGTATTGAGGGTGTTCTTTATAGTGTCCAATTCATGCCTCGTTAGGGCATTTTTAGGGGGAAGTGTGAAATTTAGGTTCTAACCCCTTCTATATGAAGAGGGTGCAGAACCTAGATCCCCTAGTTCCAGACAAGTGCCTAACCACTGGATTTTTGGACTGAAAGGTGGCAGTGTCCTCTTCCTTTGAAATTATTACTAGTCATGCTTCCTCCTGTGAACTAACATTTGGGAGGTTAACATTGAGTTTATGTGCCTTCCTCGATGAAACAGAATCTCAGTAGAGATAAGTGGCCAAATCAGATCCTTCTGAGCAGCTCAAAAGGACAAATATAGCTACTTTTACATGGCTACTTATATGTAAGTCCTGCTTACCTGCCTAAAGGGGAGTAGTTGCTGAAGCTTTCTCATGAGATATCACAGGAATTTCCTTTTTTTATGGTAAAGGTTATACTTAGACTGATTTTCCTTTGGGGGTGTGTGTGTGTGTGTGTGTGTGTGTGGGAGGGGGGGTTAAGACTTACAGGAACATAACTAAAACACAAAATATGATGGATTTTTTATTAATAAATCAAATTATTGTTTATTTTGCAGCTGAGTGTGGTGGCCAAATTCATGCTGCTACGTCAGGGCGAATTTTGTCTCCAGGTTACCCAGCACCTTATGACAACAATCTGCATTGCACTTGGATTATAGAAGCAGACCCAGGGAAGACAATTAGGTATCTGTTTAAATTCAGTTCTTGACTTCCTTTTATTGTTTGTAAATGGTCTTCTATGACAGTTAATCCAGTTAATCCTACCCCCATCCTTACATTATTTTACATTCTGTGAAACCTGTAGATACTCAGTGTCATAGGTTTTGGGAATGCTTACCTTTAGGGGAGTTTGGAAACCTATATGGGGAGAATAAGAATTCAACTGAGGGTGTAGACACACGTAACAAGTGACCTTTCCAAAATGCCACTGAAAGGGAACAATTTGTCATCGGTCAGGGTATGAAAATTGTAACAAATCAACTGTTCCAAAATGTCACTGATGGAAAACTGGTTCACAATTATCACAGGTCAGAAGCGCCCACGTGTACAGTGCGCTAGCATTCCATGTAGAATGGTCACCTTTTAGGCATTGAACCAACCCATGGTCCTCTGAGTGGTTGTTGGGGCATGGGTGAGTGTGGGAGGAAGTGCTTTTACCCAAGTTTTGGGTGTCCTAAAGAATGGGGGTCATATTTACTTTTCTGCTTTCCTTTCCCTCTAAACATGAATTCAGTAAAGTTCAGCAGCCTGCACTTAACCAATTTCTGCAGTGTGCTTGCCTGACTTGGATGCCCAGGAGTGGGGAGTGCTTAGAACTGTTTTTTTGGCTTTTCATGGGCTAGGGGCCATGATGACAGATCTTAATTGGGTGAGAAGTGAAGATATGGCTGGTTGTTAGAAAGACAGCTTTTACTGAACAAGCTGTGCAAGGAAACTCATTCATAACAAATAACAGCTAAGGAAAATAAAGTGGGGAGGGGATCAGAAAAGTTTTGGCTGCATGCCAGAGTAGCCAGTTGCAGCATTGTGGGGGAGAGCCAGAGGAGCTATGCACTGTTGGGTGCCTGGAGAACTGACCATATCTATGTCATGGAATGCTTGGTATCCATATTTAACATTAGTTTCACAGTAAAATAGCTCAAAAAAGGATTTGATTGTCCAGTTATTGTATTGTGAGGCCTAAATACTCTTTGTGCGTTTGGCTGTAAAAGGCCAGCTGCCATCTGTGCTTTGAAAATCATGCCTGTAAGTGTTCAGAACCTGATTATTACATTTAGTAGGGTAACCTATATTATACCTATCCAACAAATACCACTTTTTCCTGAAACTAACATAGAATGTCATCTCTTTCCTAGAGTGTTTGGATACCATACCCTTTGGACTATGATGGATAGACCTGGTGGCAGATCTTATCCTGGTGTTAATTGTCATAATTATCCTTATCTGACTTCAATGTCTAATCTGACAATTAGAACCAGCTGAGGCTCTGCACCATGGGGCCTTGTGTAGAAGTCTGAAGTGTTTTCATTTTTCAGTCTTGCCCCTCTTGTCAATGCATTGTTAATTTCCATGGCACTTCACAGAACATAGATAATGCACTTTTTCCTGCCAAAAGCTTACATACAAATAAGAAAAGACAACATTTCAGGAAAATAAAAATTGACTCTGAGGGTCATTAGCACTGACAGAAAAGATGTGCTGAAATGGTGGGTTTTTAAACATGTTTGAAAAAGAAGAGAGGGCATATTTAATGTACAAGGACAGGGAGGATTACCCATGTAGATGATGCTGCATAATAGATGGTGCAAAACAGAGATGGAGGTGATTAGACGAGCATAAGAAATAGGAGGAGGTATGGGAAAGCTTAAAAATAGAGAGGCTTGTTTGGAGAGAGAGGGCAAAATTATCTGTTATAGCTCAGAAGAAGGATTTTGAATTAAAAAAACAAGAAATGGGAAATGGGGTAGAGAATAGTGGGGTTTCTAGGAATTGCTGAAACATAGAAAGGACTGGGAAGCAGTTATTCTTTCTTTACTTTCACATGCCAGCCAGAAAAATGCAGTAATAGGGATCCAATACATGCTGTTCTCTGCCTGGAGCATACAGGTACTATTGTTAATGTTTAGAGTTATCTTAGTGTAGTTCTTTTGCCTTTACCAAGGGATCATCAAAATACAACATTCAACTTCATCAATAAAAGTAAGATTGATACAGCTGATTTTGTCTGACACAGGTGGTTTTTTGGGGGAACTTAATACCTAGTACAGCCATTCCCGGAAGATACCAGCTGCTGGTCAAACCTACATATAGCAAATATATTTAAGAACTCTAAAACTTATTTTAACACATTTATAATCATCTGTGAAACACCGGTCTTAAATCTCTGATGAATGAATGAGTAGGTATTGTACACATACTAGAAAAAAACCTAATCGGACTACTTCAGACTGTTGGCCACATTTGAGAAAAAGGATAACAAATAGTAGGGGTCTAAAAAAAAAATTTAATTAAAGAGGACAGAAGTCTTTTTAACTCTTAACTTTTTTTGGCATAAATGGAATAAGCTTTATATTAGAATAAGACAAAAAAGTTGATTGAACTTTGAACGTGTGTTTCAATTTCCTTTTCCCACTTCACTAAATCACATGAGTTACAGACAGACTTTCAAAAAGCCTAAGCCTGAATTGATTCAATCTTTTCAGGTTAGTCTGACCTGCCTAAATTGAATCAGTTTGCAACTGCACAGACATTCCAGAGAGCACTAGAGCAGCCCTCCCTTCCCTTCTATGGTGCTGAGCTGGGGTTGTGGCGGGGAGCTGCCAGGCCCCAACAAGATGCTGTAATTAGGGAGGGGTTTAAACCCTCACCCTGCCTGCACAGTCCTAGGCTTTACTCTGCTCACTGTTCAAGGGGTGGGAGTGTTGCCAGACCCCAGTCTGCAGCTTGCACTCTGAAGCAAAGTTGGGGTCTGCAATGCATGCATCTGTTGCTGATACTGTGCTTTTCAATCTTCTTCTCCCTGCTTTTTCATACTGTCTGCAAACCTGACAGGTGAAGGAACCTGCAGGGAGCTAATAACACAGCACTTATCAGCCCATAGGCCCATCTCATTAGTTCAAGCTCTTCATAAAAAAACATCTTTTTCCAAGGAAGGATATTAACAGCTGATGTGTTGATTAGCTCCAAAAAGCCCTAACCAGATACTGTTCTGTCTGTCTGTCGCAGTGAAATTGAAAATACACACAGAGACACCTCTCAGCATTAGCTACCATATCACATGCTTAGGGTCCATGAGACTGGTATCTGTGCTGTGGAAGATGGGAGGGAGGAGGAGGGGAGCTACATGAGCAGTGAGAAAAAGGTGGTGGGGGGGCAGGGAGCAGGGGGAGCCAGACAGACCCTGCTCTGCCTGCAGTCTCCACCAGAATTCTTTCTAGAGAGCAGAGGGGCAGGGCTAGCTCTGTTCTCTGGAGCAGAGAGCACAGCCCAGCCCAACCCTGGGCTGCAAAGCATCTGGATACTGTGGGGACTCTGGTTTAACTTAAACCAGGAAGGGGTCTAGGACAGACATTGCATAAACCGGTTTGACCCAAATCAATTAAATCTGATACTAAATTCAACCATGTTTACCTTAAGCCAGTTTCAGTGATTTTGAAACTGTTTTTTGTGTACTGCACTTGTGTTGCAGGTTTTAACCACTTAAACCGCTTAAACCAGTTTATGTGTAATATGTGTCCCTAGCCATGATGAATTCTCTCCATCACAGGTGAAGTCCATACTTCATTTACATTTTAATAGGAATGTCATATTTGAATTTAATAAAGAATGGAATGAGAAAATACCAAAACATAAGTACTTTAAACTAGAAAACAGATTTAATACTTTCCTTTTAACATTTTGCAGCATTAATAGTAACAAAAAAAATAAAAAGAAGAAATCACAGGAAACCCAAAGTCCCTTTGAGTGAAATGCTTGTGAATAGTAGTGTCTCTCTTGAAAGCACTTTTCTAAGCCTTTTGCATCCTGTATTTTAATTTTTGAAAAATGTGGATGAGTCTGTTCTGTTGTGGGGCTAACAGAATTTATTCAGCTTTTCTCGTCTTTGCTGCAGCATGTGTGATCCAATTTACCAAGAGGTCATGGTGACAGTATCAGTTTGTAAAGTCTCTAGTGTTTCCAATTCTCCTCTGTCAAACTCTAACTGTCAGAAATTCAGAAATCTTTCTGAGATGACATTAACTATATTGCAAAAGATAAATAAATAGCCTTTAAGCTTAGTTTATCTGCTGAATATTTATGTTGTGTTATACTCCAGCCTTATGTCATTTGGGTAGTCTCACTGATTTCAAGGTAACAAAAGCTGCAGGAGAAGGCTTAGAGGAATTAGTTTACATTTACATTTCTTGCTGTTTAATTTTATTGCATGCCTTATTTTACACAGTGCCCTAATTTATAGGAAATGAGGTCATCGTGTTGATTGAAATAAAGAGAAATTTATTTTAGAGGCTTTATTAGGAGAAGAGTTTAACATATAATATATTGTATGTGCATACCAAGACACATGACTTATATTTAGATAAAGGAAGCATCTGCTAAATTGTGTATACATATTATAAAAAGATGCAACCATTAAAAATAATGTAGGTGTTATTTGCTGAATATTGTCAAACATCCCCCTTTCTGCTGAAATGTTGCACTTTGCAAACCATGAGTTTTATTCCCAGTTCTCTTACAACAATTCTATCAGCATAGCTATACATTTCCATAGCATTATCCCAGAAAAATCAGTGGTGGTGGCAGCATCTTGTCAAAACGAGGAGCACAGTCTTCCCATAACTAAAGGAGTCATTGGTAAGTCTGGAGATGGTTGAAGAGGCCAATGCAAGATCTGCATGCTCGACTGCAGATGTGTTGCACAGTTCTGGGAGGAAGGGAATGGACCTGGTAGTGTCAGGACACAACTCTTTCATTCAAATTTTTCATCCATCTGTCTCCATAGTGAGGCGAGTTTGCTCTAAGGGGGCAGAGAGGAGTGGCAATTTTTGCCTTATCTGGCCACAGAAAGCAGTCTATAGCCATGACCAAATACAAGTGCATGGCTTCAAACAGCTTTAAAATGTCCAATCAGGTGAAAATTTGACCCCTCATTTCATGAGGTATCACATAAAGACGGTTCAAAGTCT